AAATTTTTTATACATATTTGTTGAATAATTTTATTTTCCATTAATAAACAGAAAAACATTCATAATTAAAAAATATAGGCATTTTACTTTTAATTTCTTAACATTATTTTAATTATTCATGTTAAATTAAGTTATAAATAAGAAATAGAAACTTTCAGTCAATCTTTTATTTAAACAATCTTTTTTTAAAAATAAATTTATTTTTATTTTAAAATTTGATTATTTAAGCTTTTTTTTCTTACCCTCTTAACCTTTAAAATATATTCAATCTATTTTAATCTACTCGCAAGGGAGTCTGGAAAAATTGTAGTATCTTCTGTTGAGCTGTACCTAATTCGGAGTTTTCTCTTTAATAGACCTCCCTGTTACGACCCCGGTTACGTAGAGGAAGCTAACAGAAACGTTTATTGCACAAAGAAATACAAAGCAGGCGAAGGTTGGGGTATGAAGAAGAACTAAAACTGAGACCGAGAACTAACTATTGGCTGGGCTTTTATACTAAACACTTTAAGGGCTGACGCCCATACACAACACCTCCCCCCTTAAAAAAAAGGTTCGGCTTCACTTAAAGCCGAAGCTTTACAATATACTAACACTTTCCAGCCAAACAACAAACAAAAAATACATAATATAATTTTGGGGGAATAAGGACAATGGGAACAAAAATACATACAACATTACAAAAAAATACAACAATAATATTATCACAAAATTTTATATATGTGGCTCATCTACATCTCCATATTATTATCATCTTCGACATCTTTCATCTTTGGATTGTTCCCGCTTTTGTCCTTCATCTTTGACTTGATCCTCTTGGAGTTGTCCACACTGCTATCACTGGATGAAGTTATACTACTTTCACTCAACACTTTTTCTTCACTAATATTCATTTTCCGAATATCTTCACTCAACAATTTCTTTTTATTGCTCCACTCATCTCGACGGATCTCTTTAAATGTCCTTGTCACAATACACTTCAACACTGCCACTTTGATTTTCCAGGCATTTTCCGTCTTTCTCACTATTTCTCCATGAAGCCACTCGATTTTACCACTTCTTTTATTGGTATTCTTCACTTTCACTTTTGTGCCGTTCGGAAAAGCATTTTTCTGTATCTTAAATGCTGCCTTCTTTTTACTCCACTTTTGGTACTTGGGCTTTTGGTTCCGACTTGACACTTCTTTCAATCCAGGCAACCCTAAGATACACACTTCACTATTCACTAGATGAAACTCCATAAAGACGTCTTTGTCTTTCACTCTCACTTTGCTTCTGAATTTTCCTTCAATTTCAACTTTGTTGTCACCCAGCCCAACACCACTGTAATTCACTTTTTCAATTGTTGGCTGTCCAATACTTTTCCACACTTCACTGGTGACAACATTGATCTGCGATGCAGTGTCTACAATCATTTCTACACTAAGTTCTCCAAACTTCACTTTTTGCTTTATCCACTCTTCTTTTTCCACACTTTGCATTGGATCGAAGATGTCCAGAATTGCACAATATGGAGAACCTGAATGATTATTATCATTACTCCACTGCCTTTTTGGCTGATACTGATTATTCTTCAAGAACTTACAATGCATACGCCAGTGACCAAAACGTCCACAATGACTGCACTTTTTCTCAATAACATTTTGTTGATACTTGACGTTTGGTTTGGACCACTGTTTTTTGTACTCACTTCCAATTTCACTTTCACTCTTTTCACAACATTTCACTTTTTCCACTGTGTTGACTGTCGGCACTTCTTTTTTTACTTCACTAATTTTCTCCTTGACAAGATACAGTGCCTCACTTTTATTGGCCATATATGCCCGACACTCTTCAATAATTTCCTTCAATGTCACTGCTTGCCCTTTTTCACTTTTACTTTCAACACTTTTCATTGCTACTTGTCGCACTGCCGTTGCATCACTTGGCATACCTGAAATAAAAATCAGGATTTTCAATTCCTCAATCGACAATGCCATTTCGGCTCGCTCACATTGAGCATTCACTACATTCCCAAACTCAACAATATCTTGAAGGTCACTACACTTAACATTTAAGGCCTCGAACCTTTTCAACAATTTGGACCTATGGTCGCTAAACTCTTTCACTAACTCACTACACAGCTCGTCGAACTTCATTTCACTCAATTTGGTTGGCAGCATCTTCCGTTCAATCTGGGCATACTCTTCTGGCCCCAATTTACTCAATAACAATCGCACTTTAGAGGATTCTGGCAGGGTTTTACCCTCCTCCTCAAAATAGGATCGATGCCTGCCCAACCATGACTCAAAGGTCATACCACTCGTCAAATCAAAAACAAACTCACCGATCATGCCAACCAATTTGCTATATAATTCGGTGTCGTTCATCTCACTCGGCTTTAACAGCCTCACTAACATTTTCTCGAAATATTCCTGCTGCGACTTCAATAATTTCTCCACTGTTTTTGCATCCATTTTGCACTCACTAAAATAAACTTTTTATCACTACACTTTACACTACAATTTCACTAACCTTTTTGGTTTTACTACACTACAATTGTCCACACACTTATTTTTAACTGCACACAGCTTATGTTGACGAGCACACAGCTTACGTTGACGAGCACACAGCTTACGTTGACGAGCGTTGACGAACTGTTGACGAGCTTGGTTCTTTTACAGGAGACCGCGCCAAATCTGTTACGACCCCGGTTACGTAGAGGAGCTAACAGAAACGTTTATTGCACAAAGAAATACAAAGCAGGCGAAGGTTGGGGTATGAAGAAGAACTAAAACTGAGACCGAGAACTAACTATTGGCTGGGCTTTTATACTAAACACTTTAAGGGCTGACGCCCATACACAACACTCCCTCGCTTCCTCGCTCACCATTTTATTTTTGATTGTTTTGCTTAATTTAATAATTTTATTTAGGTAATATTTTTTTATTTTAAAAAGCTCAATAACGTGCCTTTATTAAAAAAGGTTTGTTTTACTTAAGCTTTATTTGCGTGATTTTAACAATTTAATGCCGCGTCATTTTTTATTATTTGTCTAGAAAATTATAATTTTTTCCATTTTTACTTTCAAAAATTAAAAATCTTATTTAATAAACGTTTTCACCTTGTAAAAAATTAACTATTCGTTTAATAATTAATGTCTAATATAGGTTGACTTTTATTTCTAATCATAAATAAATTTTCTTTTTAATTTATTATTTATGGTAAATTAAACATGTAAGATATCCGTGTCTGAGCAACGAATAAATTAATTATTCACGGCCATATGCTTTAATGCAACATTCTTTAAGAAAAATTATTTATAATTTTTGAAATAAAAAACACAAAACGACCTTCATTTATATAAAGCTTTCAGAACAAAATATTTCATATTTCTATAAAAATTCGGTTATTTATTTTATGCGTAATCGTTCAAATATCACTTATATTTTTTAAAATCAAGGCAAAAGCTTTTGATGAATTAAGACAATTATATAAAAATGGACTTAATAGATATAAGATACACCCCTTGACCGAATCAATTATACCTTGTGATGAGAGTTAATCTAATTATGGAGTTAACGCTTTACCTCTAGTATAAACCCACCTCTAATTCAAGCCCATCTGAGGAGACCCATTGAAAAATATAAGCCCAGGGCTTCAATTCAAAACTCCAAAAAAATTTCCATATTTAATCACTTAAACAATTTATTTAATTAAAGTTTAACTTCCATTTTATTAAATTTATTTTTTTGTAAATTTAATATTAAAATTGCTAAAGAATTTCTTTCCTTTACTGCTTCAAGAATTTAAAAAAGATAAGAAAAATGTGTGTGTATTTCCACGCATCAACAGTTAAATTAGCTGTCACCCGGATTCTTTCCTTAAACCCTTATCTAATTTTCCTCGTTTTTTGCAGCGCTGAAACGTTAGAAATTCCAATTTAAAATTTTTATTGTCGCATTTCTTTACCTAAAAAGCTTAAAAAGAAGCGCAGCACGGCGGCAATTGTGCCTTTTTTAAAAAGCAGAGAGTATTTTAGGTGGGTGGATAAAATGTCAAAAGCAATCAAAAACTTGGAAAAAAACAGAAAAAGGAAAGGGGGGACATGAAACACGACTCTTTATTGTTCTAAAACAAAAAAAAATAAATATTTTATTCTATATAAAGTTATATATTCAATGCAAGTGTAATTTGAGTGTTGTTGAATGACGCGCATAAACAATTGGTATAAGGGGAAAAGTAAAAATAAATAAATAATCATTTTTGTTGTTCCAATTTCAAAATACTTCCAATTTTAAACTATTGAATAAATTTTTATTTATTTACCTATAAAAATATGTATTTTTATTTTCCTTGAAGAATTTATCCCCTAAAATTTTAGGCATTATTTATTATTAGAGATTATTATTAGTATAGTTATTATTAGTTATTTATTATTAGAGGAGTTTTGTCATTCTAAAAATATATTTGTTTTGATTTCAGTGATTGGTAAGGGATATTTTGAGATTCTAATTTATCAGAGGCTTATTCTCACTTTCCCAAAATTTGAATTGGAGTAGGAGGTAAGAGAAGTTTATTTGGAAAAATGTACTTGAGTGGTACTTCAGGAGTACTTCATTTTTTCTAATATACTAAGGGAAATTATAAGTTATAATAAGTATAAGAATAGTATCAAAGATTTAAAATATTTGGTAGCACCTGACTAACTGTTTCCAATTTTTTGTTTGAGACGATTTAAGAGATCGTCCCATAATAAAGAATTTACAATATTCAACGTTTATTCTTTTCATGAAATTAAATTCAAACACAATATTCTATATCACTTAAGTCTCCTTTCTAACAAAGTTTTATAAATATTTTATTGTTTTACTCAACATTTCTTCCTTTTTATTTCCAGCTTTAGTTTCACTCAAAGTTTTATTTTTTATTCACTTTCCATAAACTTAGCCATTCTTACTTTTTTAAAAGCTTCTTCCTTTTGCCTGGAGGCACTTAACCTTCCCACCCTACAATCGAAAGAGCAGCTTTATTTCTTTTTTTTTTAGTTTTTTATCTTTCTGAAAGCATATACATCTTTGAATGCTCAATTTATTATTAGAGGCAAATTCCTTGTCTTTTCTTTTTTTCTTCAATTTATTCCTGACACATTCCTTTTGCGCGAGAAAATTGATAAAAGTTGTGGACTTGGAATGTTGAGTATTGACTATTTCTTTATTAAATTTAATCTCGATATGACGTGCCCAGGGACTGAGCCGCCATAATATACGAAAGCTGCTTCCATATAATCTCTCAATATACTCGGTAATCATCCAAATTCCCAATATTCCTCTTAATTCCCCACCCCATTCAAATATCTTTCTAAACTTCTAAATTGGAGAGATCAGGGGATTTGGAGGGATTAAGGACGATATCAGTGGAACTGAGCCACACCTAAACACGATTAGAATTTTTTCTCAACCCGCAATCCGATACGAAGAAAATTTTCAAACCCGATCCGAAACTCGATCCGGGTTTTCTCTCATCTCGGTCCATCCCTGATTAATTTAATTTACTTAATTTATTAATTTACTTACATACATGCTTTATAAATTTCTAATTGAAGCAAAATTTAATAAAAAATAGGTAAATAAAAATAAGGTTAAATTTTTTTCTTAATTTTCGCTCAGAATTTAATAAATGAATAATATTCATCATCATTATTCTTTTTCTACGCCTTCATCATCATCTACGTTAATTTCATCTTCTCACATTCCACCTTCTGAATTTTTAGCAATTTCTTCCCCATCCCCTCCTCACACTATAGCTGCCACATCCTCCGTTCATCATATGAGGTTGGCATTGACTGTAACACATTTATTGCTTGTATCTCTTGGTAACTTTAGAAGAATTAAATAGAAGAATATTTATTTTTAAAGGTTCAGTCAATTTATTGGTTGTTTTGGTCATTTTAGTTAGGTATGGCACTAAAAAATTTTGATATAGAAATAAAGTATACTAAAAATATTTGGGATTGATAGTGATTTTAGATCGATATCTAGAAAAATCCCAATGACGATAACCGAGATTTTTGAAAGAAATCTTTTACGTTCCTATAATTGCCTCCGGTTTCAACCTTGCAGTATGACAACATCTTTTTTTATTATATCCTTTAATACCGCTGTCAGCTGTTTTTTATCAGCTTCCAACCCAAAGGCTTTGTTATAACATTGAATTCAATATAGTTCAAAAATTCACAAACCCCAAAAATTTCTATGTGCGAGAATACAGAAAACAATAAAAATGCTAACATTTGATGATTTGCAATATTATCTCAGCCATAAATACCTATATCAATTTCAATTTCGAAATAATTTCTTTGTAAAAGAAAATTTAAACAATGCACATATTTTATTTTAAAAATATATTTTTGTAATAATTTTTTTATTTAAAAATTCCAGGCCTTATATGCGTTCAATTACAAATGTTTATATGGTCCGTTGTTTTAAAATTTACATATGTATTTTATTCAATTAATTAGCAAAATATATTAAAGATTTCTCTGTGCCTCGCCGATTTTATTTATTTAATTAATTTAACTTTGGTCGCTGCCTCTCAGCTTAATGAAAAGTCTTGGCCTTTCAATTCTTTACTTTGCACTATGTAGGTTATTAATTTTTCCATTTTAGATATTAAAATTTAATAATTTTCAGATATCACGGCACAGAAACTACAGGTAAATTAAATATTTAAGTAACGTTTCGGTTACTTTAATTCAAAATTAAGTAAAGATTTTAATGCAAAATATTGAATAGTACCCAATTTATAATATAAATCAACTAGGTATTTTGGAAAAATATTGAGCTCTAGCTAACACCGAGTTCGAACTCAAAATATTTTTAAATCCTTCTAATTCGACTTATTTACTGTATTTATTCTCTCAATTCTTCAATAATAATGAGAGTCTTCCTAACGAGAGTCTTCCTGTCCGAGAGGATTTTAAAATATAAATTTACAAAAATATTTAATTTATTAGGTAAATATGCCAGTGTAATGTTTGTTGTTTTATTGGCAATTGACAGATACTGTGCAATGTGCCGTTCTAATTGGTGTGCCCGTTATAGGTGTTTAATTGAAATTCTTAAATTATTTTAAATAATTTTTAAAGAAATTATCGTACAGCAATAGCTCTTTCTTTGTGTGCCTGGATATTTGCTGGGGCTTCAGCTTCTCCACTTTATTTTTTTGCTGAAGTTGCTTTTTTGCGTTTGCGCTCGGTAGAAAAAGTACATAAATTATGTATAGCAAAATGGCCAAATTCTGATGTTGCTAGATGGTAGGAACTTTTTATTAGCAAACGTTTCTGGAATCAGGGGTGTTACGGGTTACCCAACGCTTGACTGACCTTTTCTCAGCCCATGACATACGTGTTTTAGGATGTAAATATTTGGGAATTTATTTTAAAGTTCCCCATTCAAAAAAAAATCCCCCATCAAATTCAACCAACAAGGCAGCTCTTACTTTGTGTGCTTGTTATTAAAGACAAAAATAAAAATTTAATTGAATTTTTACATATTAATTTAATAAAGGTATATAACTGCATCTTCAATTCTCATCTTTGCATTACCTCTAGCTGTCATCATTTTTTGTTATTATCACATTTTTATTAAATTACGTGAAGCACTTAAGTCCTGTAAACGTCTTAAGCGTGGGGCTAATTCTAGAGCGCCATATCATCGGGTAACGAGGTAGGGTCTTAAACTGTCATCAAAATACCTATGTGAATAAATATTTTAAGAATTTGAGAATAAAAAATTAAAACGATAAAATTAGGGCAGGGATAAGGCACATAAACTCTAGAAATAGACGGCTAAGATAAAGGCATAAGAGATACACCTTTTAAATATCCCAGGCCGCATTAATCATATCCCTTTGTCCTTTATTTGTAAAAATTTTAAAAATTCTTTCCAGATTAGTCTTGTGGGTTGTCATCTTCCACGTATTGTGTTGGTCTCCATTTTGGCTTTTTAATTTATTTTCTTCAATCTTCCGGCTCAGAATTTCGACACAATTTGATCGTGTTGTTGTTAATATTATTCATTTATTTCCATACATCAATTGTGCTCTCAACCCAATTTTATATGTTGCAAATGCTGAAAATTTTCGAATAGCTTTTCGGTCATTTTTCTGCCCAAAATTTGTCAACAGAAGTCGAAGGAGGAGTGGAGGAGAATTTTTTGAAGACAGCCGTTGTGTGGTAATTACTGGAGGAGGTGGGGCAGTTGGAGTAGGAGGGAGATCTAATTCTATGGGAGTTGGAGGGCCAGGAAGTTCTGTAACTAATGGAAGTAATCCTGCCGTCCTATTGACTACCGAAGAAAATAATATTTGCAAAAATAATGCCGCATTTTTGAGATTTTCTTCAAAGTACATAAGTTTTTTAAATTTAACTATTCTAGCCTCTTATAACGTTATTTAGACCAGTGACAAAACTCGTTCTTGTAAGAGTGCGAGCTTGTAAGAATGCGTTCTTGTAAGAGTGTATTTAATTTTAAAAAATACAGCGAAATTTTCCACCATTATTAACACTCTGATTTAGGTGTACAGACAATTAAGTAATTATGAGAGGAATTAACTGAATAATTTACTGAAAGTTATAAAATATTTTTGGTAATAATGCATCTTTAATGAGGGTTTTAGCAGTTAGAATTTCTGTCAGATTTCTTGATTTTTAAGTTATCTCAAACTTTTCTTAAAAATTCAAAAGTTCTTTAAAATTAATTTTTTCACATAGTTCTGAACGAGCTTTATTAACAACATCAGGACCTGTTTACAATTCTTTATCTAATGGAACAGGAAATGGAATTATTAATAAAATTAGTGGAGGTTCAGCTCCTTCACTTTTAGACTGTCCAAAACTTCCATTACGTGCTTATAGTGCAAAACATTCTGTTATAACAATAGAAGAATGTTCTTCTGATAATGATGGGGGACAGATAAATAATAATGAGGAAAGAGTTTCTGTTGTTACTAAACAAATATCTCGAAGGAGAAGAAGCTCTGCTTGTGAACAGGCTATTTTAAGTGGTGGGGGAATAGCTGCCGCAAGTGCTGTGCCTTTTGTTGGAAAAATAGCAAAAGAGCAAAAAGAGGAAGAAAATGGGTAGATTAATTTTAAAAATATAGTTGAATCTCGTTTGTAAAAATACAGTCTGTGTAATTCTTTTAAATAATCTAGCGGTACGGGAATATTACAGGGCATGATAAAATTTAAATATTTTTTAAGGGTATTTATTAAAATTAAATTAAATTTTAGCATTAAAACAACGGAAAAATCACTTTTAGAAGAAATAAACACATCTGAAGAATTACCACCTTCAATTCCTCTATCAGGCAAAAGGACAAGTATTTGTCTTTATACAATTGGAATAAATACTGGAGTAATTAGTACTTCTACTAAAAATACTACACAATTAAAATATTCATTAAATGATGAAAAAGAAGAAAAATTGAATGAAGAAAAATTTAGTAGTAAATTAATTTTGGACGAAGAAAGTGAGAAAGATGAATTTATTTAATTTTAAAAAATAATTTTATTGCCTTATTTTTATTATTATTTTAATTTTTTGTTAAAGTTTTACTGAGTTTATTTAAAAGGAAAAAAAGTTTTGGGACTTTCACTGCAAAGATTTTTTATTGAGTAGGTTGTAGTTATAGGGGGAATTGCAAACAGTATTTGGAAACTTGTACCAAAATTCGTACTTGTACCTGTATACAGAGTACGAGCAAATGGACTCGTACCTCTCGTACTTTGTCATTAAATTTTTTAAGGAAAAGAGAATTTAATTTTAAACCTAGATGTCCTTGACTCTAAAAATTCACAAAAATTTTTAATTTTTTGCATATTGTTCAATTACGAGAAAGTAAGAAGTACAAGTACGAGGCCAAAAATAGAGCTTGTATGAATAAGAGTACGAAAAAAATAGGCATGTACGAAAGTACGAGTACGAACAAATTTCAAAATTCCAAACACTGATTGGGGTTAATAAATTTTTTAAACTTTTTTAAGGATTTTTGGAGATTTATTTGAAGTTTCGATCATTTTCAGTCAATCATTAGCTATTTAGAGGTTTTTAACTTTTAAGTTGTTTAACAAAAAAATTTTTAAATTATATTAAAAATTAATCTAAAAGAATTTATGGATTTTTTATAATATTTCGAGCCAAAAATGCCTTTCCTGGCCTAAACCAACAATTTAAAAAAATTTAAAAAATCCTCTTGACGTAACCAGTAAAAAAATTTTTTAAATAGAAAGAAAATTATAATAAATTAAAAGAATTATTCGCGTTAGCTTGGATTGCCGTGGTGTACCAAAGCTAATTTTTAGTCAAGTATTTGAACAGATGTTCTTAATTTGGCAGGAAAAGAATTTTTATAAAAAATTAAATGTACGTGGATTTTTAATATTTTATTTGGATTTTGGATATTTAAAAAGGGATTGAAATTGTTAGAATATACATTAAATTTATTAAATTAAAGTTTTTTTCTTTTAAAATTATTTAAAAATTATTAAAATGTCAAATAAATTAATTATTTCTATTTTAATATTGACAATTATTTATACTGGTAATTATTTAAATAAATTTGATTTTTAATCTAAAAATAATTACCTCAGTCTGTTAGATTTTCTCTGTAAGGAAGAGAAAGATCCAGCTGGCTAGCATTTAAAACGCTCACTAGGCGGGGGTTTAAGAGCTATTAAAAGATAAGGTAAAAGTAGCGTCCGGTAGCTCAGTTGGTAGAGCAACTGTACGTGGTGAGCAGTTGCTCTACCAACTGAAAGCGCCTAGCAATAACTGCCAGGAGGTCGCAGGATCGAGCCTGCCCGTGATTAAACTTTTACCTCGCTCTTACTTGTCTAAATGAGTAAATTGGGCAAGAACATTAAGCAGGGTCGCATATTCGATACTTGTTTGGGTGGCTATCATTTGATTAACTCAGCCAAAATTTCAAAATTTTTGGATGATATTTGGATGATATTCTAAAATTAAGAACAAAAAACGGGCATTAAGGATATATAAATTGAGAAAAAATAATTTTAAAATTTTGGCATATTTCAGTTGTAAATTCTTTGACTGTTCCTGAACAAAATGCCGTTGTTGATTGTATAAATAAATACCGTTCTCAACTTGCCAATGGAAAAACTAAAAATAAAAATGGGGGAAATTTCCCCCCTGGAAAGGATATTTTGGAAATTTCTTATAGTAAAGATGTAGAGAAATCTGCTCAAGGATGGGCTAATAAATGCATATTTGATCATGATGGATCAAGTTTAGCTGCTGGAGGGAAATATTATGGAGAAAATCTTTATATAGATGGAGACTTTACACATAAAAACATAAGTAAATTAATTTGTAAAATTATTATTATTTTTAGAAAAGATATTTTGTAAGGATATTCTCTTAGGGTAACCCTTTACAAATCACAAAAAGGGGCCTGGCTTCTTTAAAGTGGAGTTTAAAAGGGGTCGAAATCAGTCAAAAATTAGGCATTATTTTCTAAAAACTTAAAGATAATTCAAATTTCGAATAAATGGATTGATTTGCAATATTTTTAACAAGTTTTAATTAAATTAAACAAAGGGTGAGAAATAAAGAGAGAGACACCCCCCCCCTCCTCAATCAGGAAAAAGAGTCACTGTTTACTGGTAATAATTTCTTTTTGAATTAAAAAAGGGAATTAATTTTGAAAACGATTGGAAGAGTTCTAATTTCTCTTTCGTAGATTTTTCGAGTTTACCTTAAATTTTTTAAATTTAATTTTCAGCCCAAATGATGGTAGATGCCTGTAATGCATGGTGGGGAGAAAGTACAACAGATGGAGTGCCCTCAAGTTGGATAAATAACTTTTTGCCTACTGATAATGAAGAGAATGATGCAAAATTCGAAGCGGTTGGACACTGGACACAAATGGCGTGGGCTAAAACTTACCAAATTGGTTGTGCGCTTAAAGTTTGCCACAAACCTGATTGTAACGGGAATCTGGTTGTTTGTCGTTATAATCCAGGGTTGGTTTATTTAATTAATTACTTATCTTTCCTATATACAATTTAAAAAATGTGTTTTGAAAAATACAATGGGGTTCGATTATCTATGTAGCAGGGCTGGGTTAATTTCGCATTTCGCGTTTCGCATCTTTCGCATATTTCACATTCTTCAGCACGAAAAGTTTCTCATTCCGCATTTCGCTTTTTATGTTTAGCTTTCGCCCAGCCCTGCTATGTAGCATTTCCACATACGTTTTCCGTTTCTTAGTTTTTTTTCATTCTCGCAGTTTAAAATAATACATATTTATTTTGAAATTTAAATTATTTTTTAGTGGAAATGGTATGGGTTCGCCGATTTATCAACAAGGAAAACCAGCTTCAGGATGTGGAAAAGCTGGACCTAGTACGAAATATAGTGGACTATGCAAGCCTGATCCAAACCAAAATAATTAATGAATTTTTTCGAGGGCTGAAATTTAACTGAAATATGCTAAATTAAATTGATTGATTGAAAATTTGAGAAATATATTAAATTGAATTAAACTTTAAAATTGTAAATTTAAATGACATTAGAATAAATAATATTATGGGAGAATTATATTTGTGTAATTATTGATAATTTTTAGAGGAATATATTCTAGGGATGTGAAGGGTTGGTTACCTGAACCCGGAATTATTTTCCCTGTATGTATAAAAATATTTAAAAAAAACCCCTAACGCCGCCTCAAGGGAAAATTTGAGAATTAGACCAAATATTATTCTAGGCTGATAAAAAATATCAGTAGTTTTGCTTAAACTCTTTCTGATATCAACAAAATAGAATTGAATATTCTTTCAAAAAAACAATTTATAAATTTTTTTATTTATTTTTTTTTTTTGTATTTTTCTTATAATAAATAAAATATTTTTTTCAATTCGCCCGCCAATTATTAACATATATTCTTTCTATAAATTACCCGGACTTTCACTGACCCCAAAAATTTATTTTTATTTTTTAAGGTTCTTCAAGTCCAGCTTGAAAAAAAATTAATAATAAGCATTCTTTCATTCACTTTTATTTTCTTTGTTGTTTTAATATGTAGTAATTTTTGATTTTTCTGAGTCAATTAAATATTTAGTTCTATAAAATATCTTAAATTATTTGTTTAAAAATTTGTTGACATTGTAAATTATAATTAAATTTATTTATTTATCTGAGATATAGCACATAGAAAATAAATTCTTGGTTTTCGGGATCTTTATTTTTCCCGAAAATCAAGAGTCCCGATCTTTATTTTTAATAGACATAAAATACATATAAATAAATCTACAGACTAAATTAATCCTCTATGATGTTTTAGATTTTCGGTCCATGTTTTCTTAATTATTTAGGTAACTAGGTATATTCAATAATTTCTAAAAATGTTTGAGTAAATAACGGTCCTCATTTTTTTAATTTTATAATAAATTTTCTAAAAAATTATTAATTTAGATAAAAAAGTTTTTTTTTCAATTTTTATATATTTTATTCTTTTTTTTCTTTTCACATTTTCTTTTGCATATTTCTTTTGTTTTCGCTTATAAGAACGTTCTTAGAGTTTCAAATAAAATATGTTTAGAGATAATTAGTCTAGCGATAGAAAAATATTTTAAAATTAGAAATTTAATGAAGAATTTTTTTGTAAATTTATTTAATTTTAGAATTATATATTTTAATTAAATTTAAATGAACTTTTTAAAATTCCCTCTTAAATTCTCCTTTAAATTATTTTCAATTTTTCTTTTATTTTTTAATTTACCTTTATTTAATTTAATAAGTATAGACAACGATATAATTGGGGAGCCTGATATAGAATGTTTAGATCAGGAAATTAGAGTTTGGGTGAAAACTAGAAAATATTTTCAAGGCAAGAATTAATTAAAATAAATTTATATTTTATGTGAAACAAACTTTAAATTCCACAAATTCGCTGAGAAGTTTTGTGTGTATTAATAAAAAGATCATTCAATAATCAACTGATATACTTTGACATTTTTCGATATTCAAAAGTTTCGAACCCTCACATGAAAGTCAAAACTAATCAAAACATTTTTGGTAATCTGGAAAAATTTTTAAATTTTAAATGTGAACGCCTGTGACCCCCGTAAATTAAGCTTAAACTCAGATAATAAGATGATCAAAAAATCAGAAATTTTATTCCAAAATGTATGTATATTCAGCAAAATATTTTTAAAATTTAATATTCTCGTCTTATTATTTTAAGGAAGGATATATGCAAAAGGAAAATCAGATGACCAAGAATGTGCAAAGGATGATTTTGCCCTTAAAAGAACTAAAAAAGTTCATTTTGATTTGGGTTTAGGTAGATGTGGAATGAGAAGTTTACGTTCGGTAAATAAATAAAAATGAATAAAAAACATTTTTAAAGTTTGATCCAAGAGGAATGTATTATGGAATTACTTTAGTTATCTCATTTCATCCAATATTTATTACAAAGGTACAAATTTAGATTATACAATTATGTATACTTCTCGTGTCGAAAATTACACAGATTAGGTAATTTTCGTCGAAACTGGCGAAGTTTGTAAAAGGTCAGGATATATCGAGGCCGGGATATCCAGAATCGAAAACATAGTTTAGGCAATTGTTCTTGGGATTGGCTGTCATAAAAGTTAGGGAAATAACGATGTCCTAATCGGAGTTCTCATATAATAAATGCTCTAGCAGCTCAACAGATTATACATTGAGAATACCCGTACCAGTTATGTAACTAGTAGGAGCACTTTTCATATTTTGTCAGATAGGTAATATTTATATTTTTAATTGATAAAGGTGGACCAGGCCTTTCATGTAAAATGTTTTTTCGAGGAAGCAAGTAAAGGTTTAACAGCAGAATTGGGTGTCAGGTAGATATATGTACTTTAATAAAAATCTTAAAAATTTCGACAGTATGCTTCCAACGACAGAGGTTGAAGCTAGGCATGGAATTCCAGGATGTACATATAGTATACACAGAAGTTCGATTGATGAATTGGATGCTGGCAAACCTGCTGGGTTAGTTGGAAATAAATATAGACTTTGATATCAGTTTCCGGGTATATCCGAAAAAATTTTAGTCACTAAAATTCCTAACCCTGGTTTATTTAAATGAAAAAACTTTTATAAAATTAGAGAGAGAATTTTGCATAGAATTAAATCAAAAATTATTTTAGTGCAGTTATACAATTCGCTCGAGTAGGGGATAAAGTACTCCATCAATGGTATTGTTCTACTAACGGTAAAAAGGATTTCCTAACTAGCAAGCATAATTTTAATTTATTTTTAAAGAAATGTTTGGAATATTAATTAATAATTGTTTTGTGACTGATGGGGTTAAACAGAGAGTTCAAGTAATTGTAAGATTTTTTTAATTTAAAGAAAACAGTGTGGAGTGTTTTTAAAAATATATACGTATTTTTATATCTTAATTAAATTATTATTTTAATCTAGGATGCTCAGGGCTGTCCACTTGATCCAATTTTAATAACGGGTACTCGTTATTCCGCTGATCTTCAAAGAGCGTATGCTGAATCTCAAGTTTTTAAATTTGCTGATCGGCCAGGAATTTGGTTCTTTTGCCAAATACAGGTCAGATTTTTGGAGTAATTAACCCTTATAATTAAATATTATCGTAAATTTCTTAGACTTATCCCTGGTGCTTTTCTCAATTCCCTCTTGATTACGGGCTATTTTAGGAAATTTTTGGCATTTAGATATATTTAAAAATTTAAGATGTGCATGAAAAAAGACGGAATGTGTGATGGAATTACTCCACCAAACTGTAATGGAGTTACTAAAACGGATAGAGTATCTTCTAGGAATGGAGATAAATATTCGAGAAGAGGAGGTAGTAGATAAATACTTCTTCACTAAAATATCTTTTAGGAATAAATTATGATGAAGAATTACATGATGATAATGGATCTCATAATGAAACGTTAACTTATCAAACAAAGCTACACGAACAGAATAAATGTAAAGATATAAATAAATTGAAATGCCGGGATTCTTATTATAACTTCATCTCTATTCCCAAAATAAGGCCCCTTTTTTTCCTTTGGAGGGGCTTTTTCCAAATTTTTAAAATTAATTTAAAATAAAAATAGCTAATACATCAAAGAGCAATTCTGGAACAGATTATGAACCTTTAGAAGTTAACCAATCACCACCTGGCCAGGAAGAGAACGAGGACTATGAAAGTAGTAGACCTGAATTTACAACAACTTCATTAAGAGTTCCAATAGCTAAAAGGCCAACAACTACCCAAGAAAAGTTTGATTTTTTTTAAAAAATCAAATTTAAATATAATCTTTTTTTTCAAGTCCGTCTAGCGACTTTGCTTCCCCTCCCAGTTATCCAAACGGTGCAGAAGCACCTAGCAGTGAACCAGAAACAATACAAGTATTCAATCCTGGATATAGCCCCAATACAAATTACGGGATTGGCAGAGATCCTCCAGGTAATTTAAATAATTTTTTCCATCTTAACTTTTGAAGATTCTCTTAATTTTTATATTACTAAAATTTACATTTAATTAGAATTTTTACTTTATTTTCACTAATTATTTTCTGATTTTATTTCTTTTTTCACTTTTCTATCTTTAATTTCTTTTTCTAGTTGGATTATCCAAACCAATTACAATTAACAACAACAATCCTTATTTACCCCCACAACCAGCTTTGCGTTCAAGTAGCCATAAACACCGTGAAGTAGTTAGCGCTGAATTTGAAACAGAAGAAAATATTCCTAGGAGAAAACAGCCAACAAAAATTGAAGAAGAAAATATTATTAGTTCCTCTAATTTACCAACACTTATTGTTACTACAAGTACAACAACAACAGCAACCACTAATTTACCTAGACCTAATAATGTTGTTAATATGGAAACTAAGAAAGGTTAGATCTCTTTCTCAAATGACAGTAAGAATAAAATGATTGAGTTTTGAGACATGGCAAGAATAACGGAAGAAAGGGATAAATTTAGACGTAGCATGGAGATATCCTTTGATGGGATAAATAAAATTTTAGTTTAATTTAGAGAACACTCTTCTTTGACAGATTGAGGGTCAAAAAAGTGAAAATTTTGAACTTAACAGATTTTAATGTGTTTGGATAAATTTAATTTGTTGAGTTGCGCAGGAGAAGCTAGGAATCAAGAATAATAAAAAATTTAAGTAGTATTTCTAAATCACTTAAGTGAGTCAGTTGTAAAATAAATTCGGGTTTAAATAAGTATGTCAAGAATTCTTAAATTCTCTTAATAACTCTAGATCAATTTTATTTAAATTAAGACGATGTGGAGGATTACAATGATTCTGGTGAATTAAACCTTCCACCACGCTTAACAGATTTATTGGCCAATTTACAACCAGATCAAATAAATGCTCAAAGTTTACAAAAAATGTTTAAAGACTCGGTAGCTGATAGAAGAGCATTATTACAAGGAGTGGATTTTATTATTAAAAAGATGAATCAAGAAGAGGAAGAAAAAAGGGAAGAGGGGGAGGGGGGAAATTGGAAAAGAGATAAAAGGAAGGAGAAGGAAGAAGTTGAAGGAGAGGATGAAAGAAGAAGAGAAGAGAATGATGATATAATGGAAGAGAATTGGAAGGATGAAATGAGGGAGGAGAAGGAAGAGAGTGATGGAAGTATGAAGGAAGGAATGATGAATTTGAATGAAGTAAAGAAGGGGGAAGATGGGGTGAAGAACAAAATGAGGAAGAAAAGTATTGAAATGAAAATATGGAGGGAAGAAGAAGAGAATGAAAATAAAAGGGAAGTGGAAGTAGAAGATAAGGGTGAAAGGGGAAGGGATGATGAATTAAGCAGAATGGTTAGAGATTCTCCTATAAATGTGGAGATACCAACTTTAAATGGAAGGAAAAATAAGGAAATAGAAGAAGATAAAAGAGAATCAATCAAGGAATTGGAAGGAAGGAAATCAACATTAAATAACCAATGGTTTGAATTTTAGATTTAACTGAAAAGTTAGGAATGGATTTATGAAAAAGGATTTGAGACTATCCTGGGGTTAGAGGTTTTGATATTAATAATGTTTAAGATTCTCTGAAGGATTTTTGAAGTTAAAATGATTTTTTAAAAATATTTGAAACGTAATTTATTAAAAAATTACTTAGGCAACCCAACAACAACCTCCAAAACGATCAACAAACAATTGCTGGACAATTACTAATTTTTGATTTGGATGAAACTCCACATCTCTCATTTGAATTACAGGTGTTTTTGGAGGATTTTTATGCTAATAAAAAATATTTTTAGAAACATATCAATTCAGCAGATGAATGTGCCCTTACAAAAAATAATTTGACAATGTTAGGTGTTGCTAGTGCTTCTTTTGCTTTGATTTTATTGTTAATAACAGCATTAATATTTAAAAGATTTGGAAAGACTAATCAAAAGGAAGAAAAAAATGAGAAACAAAAAAGTGAAGAAGACGGTGAAAAGAAGACTTTTTAATTATAAAAATAAAAAAAAATTTTTAGTGAATTCACTAAGATATTCGCCTAAATCTTCTTCTAATGGATTTCTGCGAAGATGGAAGAATTGTATAGATGGGAAAATATATCAAAGGAAAGGGGATATTAAAAGGGAGATTATTGAATGATTTATATCAGATGGTAATGGACATGGATTTTGGTATCCATATCCGGATATTTACGGCGGATACAGACGGATATCCGCAGGTATCTTGAACTTATCTGTATCCGTATCCATAACCAAGCCTGATTTAAATGTATGTATATGATTTATTTTTTGTTTTATTATATTAACTAAATTCGAAAAATGTTAAAAATTTGTTTGTATTTGTGTTGAATTGAAGCTCACAAAACTACAATTTAACGAAAATTAGACAAAGACCTATTATTTAACAACATATATATAATTAATTAAAATTTATCTAAATGAGGCAATAGGCAACTAAAGTACTATAAACAATATAGACAAGCCAAACAGACAGGAAAATAAGGAATGAGAACAATTTATTTCCTCTAGGACCTCCCAATTCACCGGCAATGTTCGGATTATAACGTCGCCATTGCAAAAGGCCAATTGTTACTGAAAAAATAAAGGAAATATTTTTAGAAATAAAGCTGAAAACCACACAAGCATACCTACAGATCCAAGTATAAACATTGTAACAGAAGAAGCTAAAGAACCTGCCTCTACCTAAAAATTTCCATTTTTTGTCTGAAAAAATTTTCCCCTACAATAAAATGACCCCCATTCAAAGAATGATAAATTGCGGCTATTGCCCAAGCTAATCCAATCCCTAAAAATACATTGACTGCATTTGATCCAGTAACATTTCCTTAAAGAAAATATTGGCAAAATTATATATTATTGGAAAACCGATTGAAGAATCGGCTGTTTTGTCTTGAATTGCTGCTGTTTTTGAAGCAAATGTATCTACAAAAATAAAATTAAATTTTGAATTTAAAATATTTTTAGACCTGGAAGTGATGTCCCCATTGCCACAAGTGTTATTGCTGTTACCTTAAATAAATAGATAAAATATTTATTTATCCTTTTAAGTAATTTCTAGATTAATTTTTAAAATACTTCTCAAGATAAACTTAAAATTAAATTAAAATATTTGGAGAAGGAAAAATTTTTTAATGATGTTTTTCCATCCGACCTTGAACAATTTTTAACCCAAACGTATGGAAACGGAGAAAGATTTTAAAAATCGTTTATTAATAAAACGACAAAAAATTAAAATAATCTGAATTTCGTATAATTTGACTTTGCTAAGAAAATCAAACAAAGTTCGAATCCAAATAATTTTTCAAAAATTTACAGTATCAAATTATCAAAAAATTTGGAAGAGAACATTCCTAATCTCAATCTAACTTTTTTAATTTAAAAAATTTTGCTCACAGAATCCCTCAATCCAATAGTACAACCAAACAAAGAAGCAATATCCCCAATAAAAGCAGTTAATATTCCGATAACAAAAATTGAAACAAAAAATGTTAGCCACCCATTAATATAATCTGTCGGGGGAATTAATGCAAAGAGTAATTTCCAAAAAACAGAAACTCCGTGCAAAGCTTTTTCTTTGTTGCTTATTGAACCGTCTAAAAAATTTTTGATTAACTATATATATCAGAGATGAGAAAGGTTATCAGAAATCCGATAACCAATTCGATAAATGTTCGAGGCCCCGATCTGAGATCATATCCGACTTTTGCTCTACTCCCATCCCTGAAATATGCAATTCATATCTCTCCAATAATCCGCTGATACTTATTTTAAATCCCCCTTTTCATACCTCCATCAATATCTTCAACAGTTAATGCTTCAATAAATTGTTGTCTCCAACTATGTGTTCCTACTAAAATCCCAACATTTGCGTTAGCAATCATTTTGTCAATAAAATTTTTAAATTCTCGATCTTCAGTAATTACTATTTTACATCGATGGTGTTCTCCAAGTATTGGACGTCCATCCTTTTTTGAAAGAGAAAATTAATTTTTAATAATTTATCTTATTGCTTTATTTCAAATTTTCCCTTTGATATATAGAAAAACATTACAATTATTAATTCCAGCGAGAGAAAATTGTCATTTTTATTTAAATTTAAAAAAGTTCAATTACCGGTCCATTAGCAACTTCACTACGTGGGGAAGAATCTTTCAAGCGGGGAGGACCCAATTCAACATAAAAATCTTCTGATTTTTCATATTCATCATCATTTGTAATTTCAATATAAATTGTTGCTCTTAAAAGAGGAGGGAATATTTTTTTAATTGAAGTTTCTTTTCAAAAAAACTTTGTTTGGTTATTGTAAAATAAAAGCTCGCCCTCTTGTGCAGTATAATCCTTTCCTTCCTTAGCACTTCCTTCAATTGTTTTGAAGGGTAAAATAACTGTTCCTCTTGCACCTCTGTGCCTTCGAACCTTGAAAATGATTTTTAAAAATTAAGGAAAAGTTTTTTAATAAAATGGCAATGGAAAGGAGTTTATGGAAATGAGAAAGGGAAGCAAAGACGAATGAAAAAGTACCAAAAAAATAAAAAGTATCCAAATGAAAGGTACACATCTCAATATGTTTAGCATTAACAAATCCCTAACAAATATATAATCGTTGGAATTAAACTAGGGCATCTAGAATTCGATGATTTTAAATTAAGTTGCAGCTAATGTTTCTAGGAAATTTAAATTTTGTTTGTATTTGTATAAGGTCTATTTTATGTCATGTTTGTACTATGTACAAAAACATGATTCCTCATTCTCAATTTATTCATTTATCTATTTTTAACAACAAATTATTTTCCAAAAAAATCCTTACTTCAAGCGCAAATTGCCCCTGACTTTCAGGTACTCTAAATACTTGTGAAGTAAAACTAAAAGCACCAGAATGATCATCTAAATTTATTTTTATTTTAAAAAATATTTTATTTATCACCATCAATAATCATTACAGTAGCTACACTTCCCCCTTCCTTAAATTGGGCTGGTAATTTTTGACCAGGATTGTCTGCACAATGAGCATCCAAATTTGTTAATTTTACCTAAAATTAGATTGTGATTACCCCTCTATATAATTTACAAAAAATTGTTCATCATCTTCATATTCATCATTATCAACAATCCCAATTTCAATGAATTTTTCACTTTCAGAAGGTCCAAATGTTAATACTCCTTGTGTTGGGATAAAATCCTCATATTCTGCCGCAGTATCGGCAATTGTCTAAAAATGAGGAAAAATAAATTTAAAATAATTTTTTCCAATTTCTAACAGTATATGTAACAGTAACTTCTGTTGAAACAGCCAAAGACCCTCTGTCGAGTACACAGCGAAGTTCAACTAAAATTAAATTTTTTTGAGATTTTAATTTGGGTTATTTGTTAAATTAAAAGGATTTTGGGAATAAAAGTCTCAATTCAAAATATTTTTGTGATTTGTTTTGGGGGACTGCCTGGGCATCAAAAATGGGTCGGAACAGTCAAAGGTGTCGGAAATCGGAACTGGCTCAAAAGTCGGAACTCTGAAATCAAAATTTCTTTTCGGAAATCGGAAGGAAAAAAGCGTCTGAAATCGGAATTCCGACCCATCTCGCTGGGCTATGAATTAAAAATTCATATTGAAATTCTCTTCCTTACCAGTTCCTACATTTTCCAAAACACAATATTCTGCTGGATCAAATCTAAAAAAAAAATTATTTTATTTATTTCTCAACAAAAAACCTACCCAACAGTAACTTGCTTTGGCTTATCAGGCATTAAAGGCATTGCAACATTTTGATGTTCATCTTCTGCCCGTTCCTTTAGTCTTTTAATGCTTATATCTCCATTTCCGGTCATTTTACGAATTGCCTAAATACATCTTTATTTTATTTCTATTTATTCTTCTAATTTTCACCTGAATTCTATAGAAAGCCCTGCTTTTGGGTACTTCAGTAAATATCCAGTTAGATGCCAACCTTTCCAATTCTTGCACAGAAAGGTTTGGATTTTCAGCTCGTAGCTTTTTTATAACGTCTAAATAATGTCTTTGTTGCATTAAGGCTACAGAATTTGAATCGTTTTTGAGTGGGCCAAGGAGTGCAACACTGAAAAAAGTAATTGAATAAATAGAGCCCTTAAAAAATAATCGAAATTTTTAAGAGTTTTCTAAGGCAAAATTTAGTATCGGAACACTAAAAATTCTGAGTTAACGGAATATTCTTATCTAACTCGCAAAAACCTACTCAACATCCTTTTCACTTCCATTAGCAGCTCTAATTCCAACATGGGTACTTTGCTGTTTTCCAAGCCTTGGAGTGTGTCTAAAAGAAGTTATTGCATTCGCACCCAAAAGACGTTGTCCAAAAGTTTTTGCATGTTTATTGGCTATAAAGGCACTGCCAACAGTTAAAGGGAAGAACAAAAGTGTTAACAATCCTTCCCATACCTAAAAAATATATTTAAAAATATCCAGAGGAAACGACATAATTGTAGCTAACGTAAAACTTTTATTAGTTACCCTGGGTAATTATTGTTTCGACATTTCGTTGAAGGGAGTAATTAATCAAGGAAGGGTAAATATGTATACGAGGTTTGAAATTTGAACGTGTTTTAGGGCAATTGATATGGGGCAATTATTATTTCAAGCTATCACTGTAGGGGGTAACTATTAAATAGAGGGCAATTAATAAGGTAATACAGATGTTAAATGTATAAAGCACTATGTGTATAAATTTAGGGCTTTTCCCTTTTAATTAAAATTTTAGTATTTATTTTTCCCAAATACCTCAACAATGTTTGGTGAAAATACGCAAAGAATAAGAAAAAGCCAAATGTAGGCAAATGTTGACCAAATTACGGTTACCTGAATAAAATAATTTAAAAAAAAATAGAAATTATTCTAACCCAAAAAACATCTATTCGATCAATTCTTCTTATTTCATTTGAAGGGACAATCTGAAAAACAAAACTCGATTAAAATAAGGATATATGGCTTACCAAAATGCAGATTCCAACAATTATAAATAAATTGAATGCGGCACTTCCCACAATAGTACTGTAAACGAAAATTAAAATAATTAACTGAATTTTTAAAATATTCGGCAAAATAAAAAAAAATTATTTCAAAGAATTTTCTGTTAAGGATTCGTTTAGGCCTTCAGCCTAATTCCGGTTTTTTAACTCCCATCGCCGTCTTCCGCCTTTAAAATTTTCTAAACAGTTTTACTGCGAGATTAATTTTAACCGTTCTTCAAGTTCTATGCATAAATATATTCTCACCTCGGTCCCAAATCACCTGCTTCAAAATTATTGCCAAAAATTTCAATTACTGAAAGGAGAATTTCTGGTGCAGAAGAACCTATAAAATTTTAAAATAATTATTTGAAGGATTGTTATTAAAGTTTTATTTAGTTTGGCCAAAATATGACATTATCTGACATTATCATGTAATATTTGATATTATCATGTATATTTTAATTTTTTGACTTTTTTTGCCTATTTTAAGATCAGTTTTGGATAAAATATATTTTTCACACTATTTTATTATTCGTGCCATTTTTCGATCTAATCTATTATTTTCACTTATTTAACTAATCCTTGCCCTATTAATAAAAAATTTTATTCAAAAATATTCCTAATAAAAAATATTGGTCAACCAAAAGGAAATATTCATGACATTTTTCGATCAGATTTTGATAAAATTAGATCCTTTATTTCAAATAAAAATCCTTCCTCCCTACCTAAAGCCATTAAAGTTAAATTGCTAACAGTTTCATTCCACACCCTTACAAGTACTTTTATTTTTTCTCCAGTAACTTTAGTTACTTCAACTTCTCGTTCTTGACTTGTAATTACTTCTATTGCAGCCATAAATCTATAAAGAAAATTAACAAAATTTAAAAAACATTTTTACCTGTCAGAAACAATTGAAATTCCATAAAAAAGGTATAATAAGGCCAATAAATAGACAAAAGCACGGAAAAAACGAATTGGTAGAGATACTTCCTTAAAGGTGTTAAAAAATATATTGACGATTAAATATAAATAAACTCCCTAGTTTTTGAATAAAAACATAACCTAAAAAATCTTCCTAGTCCTAAATAGTCAGCATGTTTACAGGTTTTTAATTTTAAAAAGAACGCAAAACGGCTAAACAGAACGCCAAAACAATTCCACAACTCTGTCCAAAATTTGAAATTTCTTTTTAAAAAATGCATAAACTATAGGCGATTGAATATTGAATATTATAAATTAAATATAATTTTAAATATTATACCATTAAACATTCAATTTAGAAAACAACTTAGTACTCGATCGATTTTTCGAGTTCTAATTCGGCCAAGAGAATCGATCGAGGTCTTATAGAGAATAAACTCCACCGATTTCCCTGACCTCTAATTTATTCAAAAACAATACAAATGTATAATTTTAAAATATAATTTCAAAATTATTTTTAAAATACCTGCGGTTCCCACAACTAAAATTTAAAAAAATAGATTTCAAAAAAATTTCAAAATTTTCCAATACCGGAATAATTAACCCAGATTTGCAAGGTTTTCCACTAGAACAATGATTATTAATTAATATTTCTTCACTTTTATTATTTTCAACTTCCCCATTATAAATTAATTCTCTTTTTTGTGAAGAATAAACTGCGGCTATTTTATTGTTATTGTCATTATTTTGTTGTTGGGAATTTGAAAAATTTAAAAATTGTAAAAGGAGAAAAAAGGAAATTAATGTTTTGATTTGGAAATAATTGTTGTTTTTTAAGGGAAAAGAGAAAAAGAAAAACATTTTTTTAATGATTTTTAAAATTTTTATTTATTCATCACTTAATAAAATAGAGGAAAATATTTTTTTTGAATAAAAAAATGAAAAAATTAATTTTTATGATAAATGAAAAAATTTAGGTAAATGAAAAAACAAATAGGTGAATAATTTGTAATTAAAAATTTGTCATCTTCAATAGGTGACTAGAATTTTCTTTAAACAAAAATTTTAAAAAATTCTAACAGATTTAAGCTCTTCCGGTCAGAAAGGGTGTCAATTTTTTCGCGAAGGGTTTTTATTGTTTTACAAAGTTTTTCAAGTATTTATTTTGCAAAATTAAAGAGGAAATTTAGGTAAATTCCCAATCTTGTTTAATTTCTTTTCAGAATTTCCTTTGTTTTGTACAAAAAAAAACAAAAAAATATTTAGAAACATTCCTTTCTTTAAAGTATTTCGAAACTATTAAACAACAATTTCCTTTCCCAAAAGAATATTTAAAATAAAATTGGGGGTTAAAAACGCATGAATGAAGTCAAGAAAATAAAAATGTTTTATTTATTGATTCTCGACAAAATAAATGTTACTTTTTTTTAAATTATTTTTTAAAAAAATATAAGTTTTAAAGTTTTTTAAAGTCTTAAGTAAAATAATTTAGCATTTTATTATAACGGCAACCATGGGAACTGGTTTATATATTTATGTATTCCACTTAAATTAAAGAAGGAAAATTAAAGATTAATAAGAAAAAATGTTGGTTACAAAATATAAGGGGATATGAAGAAAGTTTTAGGAAATTTTTTTTAGGAATTTTTTCCCTAAATTATTTTTAATTAAATAAATCCAGCAATTCTTTAAATTATATTTTTTTCCAACAAAAAATATTTATATATTTTTTAAATATTTTTATTCAATAACAATTAAAATATCTATACTGTATGCAAAAATGATAATTATAGGAGTAATTTATAAGCACACTAAATGGTGAAAAATCAACAGAACGAGAAATAAAATTTAATTGAAGGTAAAAAATAGGAAGAAAAGGAAGAATGAAAAATGATTAAATAATTATTATAATTAATTAATTATTAAGAACTTTAAATATTTCACTTTTAAATATTTTAAGTTATATATATGAGATTCTTAAATCAAATAAATTAAAAATTAAAATAAATAAAAATTTCCTTAATTTAAAATAAATTTTGGAATTGCAATTAAAATATTTTGTAATAGGTCACTCAAAAATAAAATAAAATTTGGAATGGGAAATATTTGAAGAAGCTCTCAACCAGCAATTAAAGGAAAAATAAAACAAAAAAGAATGGGGAATTTTGTGAAAAAAATAAAAATTAAAGGGAAATGGAGGGAAGGATGTGTCATTAATTTTGTGTTGTTTGCTGCTAAAAACATTAAACCGGGTGGGGGCTAACTCGAGGAATTCAAAATCAAAACTACAAGTTTAGCTGATTGGAAAGTGGTAATATTAAGAAAAACAAATTTTAGAATAAATTGGGAGTGAGAATGTTAAATTTTATAATGCCGCTAAACTAAAAATGATATTAGTTTGAAAATCCTGCAGAAATTCCCGATAAGGAAATTAAAGTAAAATATTAAAAATTTCGAGAGATTTCATATCTTTGAATAAATTATTTAAACTCCTAGGTACGCGCCCAAAACATTCAACCACCAAAATAAATTAGAAACTTTACGCTCAATTAAAAAATTTTTTATTTAAAATTAAAATCAACAAACACGTGATTAATGAAAAACGCGGGCAATTTTGTCCTTTAACAAAGTGTTTATAATATACCCAAAACATTTTAAATTTAATTTCTTGTTTATTTTGTATTAATAGAGGAGTAGAGGAATGTTCATCTTCTCCTTCCCCCCCCCCCCTTTAAAAAAATTAAATCTCTCAACTTTTAAATCGTTGTTAAGTCTTTAAATAAATTTAAAGAAAGTGTTGATTTTGGCTAGTATGTATTAACAAGAAAAAAACAAAAAAAAATTCTCGATTCTTAATTTTATGGAGAGGAAGTCTTGCGAGGGTATTTTATAATCGATTGAAAAAAGAATGGAAAGAGGGAGAAAAATGAATGGGGGGAAGGGAGGGTTGGGGGGGGGGGGGGGTAAGGGGGAGGGGTAAGGAGGGTTGGGAGGGGGGGAGAGGGTTAGTGGTGGTGGACGAGGAGAACAAGGTCAGAAGAGGAGAGGTTTTGGAATGAAAGAAGTTTTGGTAAAAGAATTGTTAAAAAAATAAAGGAAAAAACAAAAGAATTCAAACCACACAGACAAAAACAATAAATGTCAAAAGTTGGCCCTAAAGGTTGGTTGTAAGTTGGTAGGAAAAGCATTGAGCTGTAAAAAACAATGGGGGAAAGCAATAGTTGAAATAAAGGAGTTATTTGTTTAGAATCTAAACTTTAAATTATGTAACTGGTCTGTTCTGCAGTTAAATCTGTCACAGTTGAAAAAAAACAAAAATTTTCTGGCTTAGAAAAGGAGAGGGGTTTAGGCAAAAAATAAATGAAGGATTAACCTATATTTTAATTAATTAAGGATTAGTGTCTGAATTTTTAGAAAATAAATCTCTTATGTACTAAAATGTTAGGAAAACTGGAGGAACATAAAAATAGAAACACTGAAAATCTCATCCATTTTCGAGGCTGGTAATATGAGTATTTTTATGAAGACATAACTGCATCAGTTTATCAGGGATTAATTAAAAATAATTTTAATCATTTTTAACTTCAACTTATCAAATTTAATTAAAACATTTAATTTCAACAAATAGCTAAATAAGGCTTTAAAAATAAAAATAAATAAGCAATAAATAAAAGATTAACTTAATAATATTTTAATTAATTCCTTGTTCTTTTCTCTCTTTAATTGTAGTCATATCCAATTCATAAACTTGAAATTTTCCAAAATTAGAGAAAAATCCAAAAAAATTATTTTGTTGAGAATTACACCAAATAGGTAAATTACAAAGCAAACAAGGCAAAAAAACAAGTCCGTGTAAAAGACCCAAACTACAAACAAATATTACTGCATAAACAAAAACTGTTGGGGAATATTTGTTGATTAAAGCTAGTGGAAGTATACACAACATTGTTGAAATACCTTTTGAAATTTTGTAAAAATATTTTTAGAGTTTTTTAAAATACGCTATAATAATGTTGTTGGTGTGGGGCATTTTTTATTATTCCTCAAATCCTTTTTTGAACCAAATTCGCTACAATCTGTGTAGAATGGCAGGTCCTACGGTGCTCGTACCAATGTAAAAACACCATTTTTGGTCTTCTCTTTCAAGGCATATCCGCATTCAAAAATGCATGTTTTGGTTAGCCCTACTTATTGCCATAAAATATGGCTCATTGAGGAATAAAAAATGTCACACATTAACAACACTATAACAAAATATTCTTTAAAGTTATTTTTATTTTTAAATTCTGATTTTGTTTTGATTTAAGCAATTAGGTATTTTCTTCCTTTTCTGATTTTTAATTAAATTTTAATATTTCTAAATAAACACAAATTACCAGCTTGCAACATAGGCCAACCGACTGACTCAAGAGTATATTTTAATTTTTCTTTTTTATTTGTAAGAGGTATACATTGTTCGATAAAACCGGAAGGAGATGATGAACATTTATGGAATTTATAACAAACATTTTGTCGAAAATGATAAATTACATGGGAAACAAAATCAACAGAAAGACCAATGGACATTAATGTTGCTGCCTTTGAAAAATATGTATATTTGAATTTTTTCGATAGTAAATGACAGAAATTATTAAATTTTATAAAGTCTTGTCTCTTGTTAAAATTCGCAAAAGCTTTTCAATTAAAGGTGGAAAATATAATCAAAATTCATTAAGTTCGTCCCTGTGTATTCTCCCCTTTTTACATTTTATGAGTCTCCTTTACTCAATTTTGAGAATATTTACTATAATAAGTTCTGGTTTGAGTGAGTTTTCGAAAATTTTTAGGACAGGCTTTGAGTAACCTATCCGGCTTTTAAAAAAATTAAATCCTACCATAGTAACAGGATCTAAATCAAATCCAAAACAAGAAAGAAAACCAAAAACCCCAATAGAAATTGAACAAATTGAAGCAGAAGCAATTAAAAGACTAAATAAACTTGGCATAAATAATAAACACACCAAAGACATGCATCCAAGTGTTAACTGGAAAAATTATAGGATGTTGAAAAGTAACAAAAATATGGAATAAAAATACAGCCGTGGCCACTTTGCTCTTCCATTCTTTATTTTAATACGGGCTACTAACAAATTTTATTAATGAATTTGCTCGATTGTTAAATCATTCACTATCTGGCTAGGCTCTATCGAATCATTCTTAATTTAAAAAATTCGACAATTATTTGACCTATGTAGTCATGCTCTTGTGGTAAAGTGGCCTGCCACATAAGAAAACTTACCACAAATGATTGAAAGGTTGTTGATCCAAGAGAAAGCATCTGATCTACAAATAACGAATTTTCTTCCCAAACCCAAACTGAAAGATTTAAATTTTTTGAATGTCGAGAAGCTATTGAACGCCATTGCTGCATTAAATTTATACGGATTTGCCAATCCGAGACATTATAGTAAACAAAGGAAAGGGTAAAGGCAGAAAGAGTAGGCGAATTATTTGAGCTAAAAAATAATAAATAATTGGCAATTATTGGCACTTGGATATAATAGTGGCAAAAGTGATATTGGGGAATAGACCTTGTGTTCTTATTTCAGTTTTGCTTAATCAATTTAACTTATAGGAATTTTAACTAGTGTTCGGCAAATGGATATTTTCGGTACCGGTACCGGGAGTACAGAAAAGTCCCAATGCCGAGTGGTACCGAAATTTTCCAAAATCTCATCGGGACGGTTCCGGTTCCGGGAGTACCAGAAAATACCGACTCGGTATTTTCGGGAGTACCTCGGGAGTACAGAACCGTGCCGAACACTAATTTTAACCGGCCTTTTTCCACCATAAATAATAAATTATCTCAACCTCTTATTTTGTAATTTAATGGAAGCTTTCCAATGTGAATAAAAAGGTAAATCCAAAAATTGCTCAAGTTTGGATAAATTTATTTGTTTTTCTTCAATATTACTTTCATTTTTCTTTAATTTTTCAATTCCATCAATTCCCAATTCAACAATAAATTTATTCATTCTTTCAATACTATCATCTTCTCCCATAAAATATTTAATATAATCACGAAGCCAAATAAAGGAAGATAAGGGACATAAAAAGGGAAAAAATATTTTAAATAATTTTTTTCGAAAAATTACCTTTAGAATTAGGCATAGACTCGAATTCATCAACCATTTCCCAAAACTTGTCCATTTGTTTAGTTGAGGAAATATTTAATGGTCCTTCTACTAGAACAGTAATTGGCAAATAATTTGACCAAACTGGAAATAAATATTTTTATGAGGGAGATACATTAAAATTAAAAGAGTGCTAATCTTTATCGTCATCAGTTCAATTAGCCTTAGAATTAAAAATTGCATTAGGAATCGTGATTTTTTCACGTACTCGTACTTCGCACACAGGTACGAGTATGAACTTTGGTACGAGATTCCAACCACTGTATATAAAATGAGTATATAGGAAATAAATTAAATATGAACCCGCTCCAACCATACTTTAATATTAACAAAAATTAATTTACCGTATTTCCTATATTAGAGCCCCACCCTTTGTTAGAGCCCCACCCTTTAATACAGCCCCACTTTGGAGGATAGTTGAAAAATAGAGCCCCACCCTCAATTAGAGCCCCACCCCTAATACAGCCCCACATACAAATATTGGAGGAAAAATAAAATTTTAATTTTTAATTTTTTTCCCTTCTGTGAAATAAGAGTAAACAAAGGAGGTATCGATGTTTAAAAAAAGATTAGAGGGATATAAGGATTGATGGATATCGTGGTATTCGGCCGACTCGAAAACCCCAACCCTAATTTTCACGATATCTATCCAAATACTCTAATATGTATCTCATATTCCAAAAAAATCTCTTGATATGACTTCAAATACTCCAAATCCACAATGCCCCTCTTGCTCAATCTAAATCTCTGATATATCACCTTAATCCTCCTATATTTCACATGATCTCTTAAAGTCCGCTTATAGGTATGCCTCGATAATATCAACTTATACCCTTCTTGATCCACAAATACAAGTCCCTTCCTTGAACTTCCTTTTAATCCGTCAATATCAAGTTTTAATCACAGCAAGTCCAAATATCCCATTTGAAAACCCAAAAATATCGGCCATTTTTTGATATTTTTCTATTTATCGAAAAATATCTCAAAACTCCGACCGACGTTTAGCTGCAATAGATATTTAATAAATGGGATTTTATCCCAAAAGAGGGTTGAAAAATAGAGCCCCACCCTCAATTAGAGCCCCACCCTTTAATACACCCCCACCTTGGAGGATAGTTGAAAAATAGAGCCCCATGGGGCTCTAATATAGGAAATACGGTATCTGAATCGCAGAAACGAATTTTAATTTGTTTTCCCCTCCAAATATTTAGAATCCCTCATTACCTTGTTTTTCAAGTAATAAACTACTTTCACGCATTTTTGAATCTCTCGGTAATATTTTGTTTAAATCGAGTTTTGAATTAATATTTAATAAACCAACAATAGCTACATACAAATAAAATAGTAAACAAACAATTGTTACAAGAAAAAAACATCTAAAAATGTTTAAAATAATTATTTTTTGGGTAAATATTTTGAATTGAAATTAATTATACCTATATTAAATTGACTCTTTAGTTTAGGAACTTTAAACAAAATAAATTTAAATTTTAAGTTCTTGAATTAAGAACAAACTTCCCATAAAAATTTTGTACAAATTGTCTTCGTAAAAATTTAAAAATATTTAACAGGGCAAAACATTTTAAAAAAATGCCTGAATAAATAACCTCCGGCATTTGGCTAAAACCAAAACCGAAAGCGGATGAACCGAAAACCAAACGAAATCATGCTAATAAAATCAAAACAATTAATAAGGGAGTAAAAAAATTTAAATTAAACAACCTACTCTAATTATTTTCAATTAAAAATATTTCAAAAATACTTCAATTAACTACCTTGTATTTAACAAATAAATATATAATTTAATAAATTTATTTAATTTTTTATAAATCCATCCATTTATTTTATCATTATTATTAGCCTTAAAAGGCGAATATTTTCGTTTTCTAATTAATGCAGACATTTTATTTTCATTAATTATTAAATCAACTTTTGGTTGTTTTTTATTTAAAGAAGAATTTTCAAATTTAGCAGAGAAAAGCATTATTGGACAAAAAAGTGTTAATTGTAAAATATAATCAAATGTTAGTGCTATTGCTGTTCCGAAACAAAAGAGTCGAATTTCTGGAAAATTATATGAGTTTTTTTATCATTTATTATCAGGTATGGCGTAGATCTAAAATAGGATAAGGGAGGGGAGGCAAAGGCGGGAAGTCAAAGGATCGAAAAAATGAGAAGGGGTAGGAATGAGGGAAAAATAGCATCCCCGTCAAGGCTGGACGCAACTGAAAAAAATTTTCCGCAGCTGCAATCCGCAGTTGCGTCCAGCCCTGATCCCCGTACCTGTTTACCGCAAATAAACAGGTACAGATAAAAACTTTGTAGGCTCCTGGCGACCCGTAAACCCGAAAAAATTTCCACTCAAAACTCAAAAATCTAAGTTTGTATCAGAGGACTCATTAATCTACTATAAAATTCAAAAATTACCAGGAGTAGGTGTAAAAGCCCCAACACCAAAGGAAATAACATTAGTTAAAGTAGTAACAGTAATTGAAGGCCCCATTTCTTTAATTACAAATTTTAATCTCTTTCTCGGTTCAACAATATGTTTTGCCAATTGAAACCATCTAAGCATTAAAAGAAATCCATCATCCACACCAATTCCGAGAATTAAATAAGGAAGGATTAAAAGAAAAGAATTTATTCGAATTCCAAAAATAGACAAAATTCCAAAAGTGGAGCCAATGGCTAGCATTGGACAGAGAACTGTTGCAACGGCAATAAAAGTTTTTCCAAAATCTGTTTAAAATTTTGAAAGGTTTTCTTAATTAAAAGGATTTTCTAAGAAATAAATGTTAATAATGAGATGTTCTTTCGAATTTAATTATTTAATAATTTCTATCAATAAATCTTTTAAAAATCGTTAGATTTTGTGGAATAATAAATTGAATACTCGAACTCTATTGTAATTCTTAACAGTTACTAGAAATAATATCTGAGTTTTTTATCCAATTTTTTTCTGTTCTTGAATCGCCAAGTATGCCGTAAACAAAGTTAAACGAATATCTTGTTAAAAATTTATTTTATTTTTCTAATTTAGGTAAATGACTTTGCCAACAATTTATTTAAAAATTATTTTAAAAAATTTTTACCAAAATTTCCCAAAACTGCAGAAGTTCCAAACACATTAATTCCAACAAAAACAGCAATAGCTAAAAGACCTAGAGCAAAATATTTGACATTATCTTGATGATCACGTGTCATTTCACTTTCTAGAATTTCAACCCCAATAATCTGAAAATTTTGTGAATGTTTGGAATTTTATTGAAATAAATTCTAATGAAATTTTTAAAAATTCTAAACAAGGAATAAGCAATTTTGGGATTTTCGACATCTCTGTGAGATCAAAACGGAAATTACGTTAGGTTATAATTCTAAGTAGACTAAACTTCTGGCCTATTCCCAAGTCGGAATGATCATTATTTAAAATATTGTATCACCAATTCTTAATTGATTTGATAAACACTGTGGTTAAAATTCTGACTTGGAGACAGGTTTTCAATGGATGTTATTTGCCTTAGTTGAGTTAGTGTACACTATAAAATCTTTAATTATCCCCTCCATATTTTAATTTAATTAAACTAAAATTTTCTGGTTAAAGATACCATACCTGAGCATCAATAATATCACTTTTAAATTTATTTTGTAAAAAATCAAAAACACCCAATTCCCAAATAATTAATTGACGTGTACGTTCAGGGCTAGAACGAGCTGATTGAAATCTAATTAAAACCTGTAAATAATAGGGAATTTAAATTCAATTATATTTCACTCATTTATTCAAGAGTTTTCCACATATAATTAAATACCTCCCCCGCTCCCCCTACCATTTCAATTTTTTCCATATTTGTAATTTTTTGTTCTATATTATATTTATTTTCATTATTTTCTTCTCTCAATTTAACACCAAAAAAGAATAAATCTAAATGTATATCAAGTGAATGAATTGTTGATATTGGAAAAGATAAATTTTGATTTAAATTTTCATTTTCTTCTTTTAAACTGTCGATTGCTTGAGTAAAAGCATCCTAAAAATTGTTTTAATTAATTATGTAATTTCTCGAGTAAAATCTTCACATTTATTTGATGTTTTAGGGAAAAAATTTCGAGTTAACCCTTTACAACAATTTTAGAATACATCCATTTCGAAAAGGAGGTACAGCTCCCATAACAACATCGGAGAGTATACCGTATATAATCTATTAATTACCCTCCCTCAAATAAATACCCTGCCTCT